TACGCATATATATACACACACACACACACACACACACATATATATATATATATGCGGTCTTTATGCACGGCGGCCTTAGAAACAATACACCGTAAGCGAACCGTCACAATTGAGTACAACAATTCCTGTGTTGAGATGGCTGCTGACACACTACTGAACATATGTTTGTGTACAAGTACACTTGACCGGTATATGACACCTGCACATACACGCATACATGTACACATCTGTGTATCCACGTACATTCTCCTGGGTGTGCGTGCAAGTGTACGTCTGTATCTGTGTGGTGTACATACCTCCAGTAGCAGTGGATAGCGTGTGAGGCGTTGCATGGGCATGATCATGAGATCCCCAAGAGAGTAGCGTTCGCACTTGGGATTGCCGGCAGAGTCCTGGGACAAAGACGTGCATAGGATGGTTAGTAGAATGTGTATTATGTGGTATATATGGACTGTATATATATTCACTATATATAGGCCAATTGTGAAATGGATATATGATATGATGTGATAGGATGGTTAGTAGAATGTGTATTAAGTGGTATATATGTACTGTATATATATTCAATATATATAGGCCAATTGTGAAATGGATATATGATATAATGTGTATCAAGTGGTATATATGGACTGTATATAAATTCAATATATATAGGCCAATTGTGAAATGGATATATGATATGATGTGTATCGTTGATGGTTATTAGAATGTATATAAAGTGGTATATATGGACTGTATATATATTCAATATATATAGGCCAATTGTGAAATGGATATATGATATGATGTGTATCGTTGATGGATATTAGAATGTGTATCAAGTATATATATGGACTGTATATATATTCAATATATATAGGCCAATTGTGAAATGGTTATATGATATAATGTGTATCGTTGATGGTTATTAGAATGTGTATCAAGTGGCACATTTGTACTGTATATATATTCATTATATATAGGCAGATTGTGAAATGGATATATGATATGTTGTGTGGTTAATATTACATATTAATTGTCCTGGGCCAAAAATTGGTAGTGGGTGGTTGGTATAACGTTTTTACTTCTACAACTTAGATTTGAGAAAACGTACTCTTCGGGACGTTATTGACCTCCGCGGAGATCAGTTCATTCCCAGGCGTGATATAAATAGTACTGTCAATTAAGATTTCACTTACATTGAGGTGCTTCATAAACTTTGGTTTATTCGCCTTCTCCTGTTCAATGAGATCTGTTGCGGCCTGTTGTCGCGCGCAGAAAACCGCAAACACTTTGTACTCGTCGAAATCCGCGCCAAACATCTCAGCCACGTGTTCTATTTTTAAATTCTCATTCTGGTGAGCCAGCAGTTGGTTGCAGAAGCGAACGCTGTGGTGCGGAAGGAATGGGAAAGAGCGATAAGTTCCAATTCTAAATCTATTTATAGGTAAGGAATGTGGGACGAATGGTGAGTTTTAAATCACAATGGAAAGTGATAAGGATGATGAGTTTTAATTCTAAATCTATTTCTAGCTAAGGAATGTGACAAGAATGAAGCGTTTCAATTCTCAATCGATTTATAGTCAAGGAATGTGAAAAGAATGATACGCTTCGATCCTAAATTATATTTATAGCTAAGGAGTATGTTTCTATTTTGAGACTCCCATTCTATTGTGTCAGATGTAAATCGAAGAATTAACGGCTACGGTTGCGTGAGCTTGGAATGTCTTTCTACATTTAGCATTGCTTCTATATTACACACACACACACATATTAACACAGTATATACATACACGCACACACAGCTGTATACCATAACTGACTATAACAACTGCATATCATAACCACACGTCCCACACACACCACACACATGACACACACATGACATACATGGCACACATGTGTAGCACTGCAAGATCATGTGCCTGTGCCTTCTTATTCACGTTCACGCTACCTACCAACACGCCAGAACTTCAGTTAAGTTTGAAAATATGGTGTCCAGTTTCTCGTCGCTCAAGATGCTCTGGTAGAAGAGTGAGTTGGCGTAGACCTCCTTTAGTCCCACCATAGACCGCACAAAGCTCACCTCCGTGCGGATTAATTCTGAATTAGTTTGTGAAGTGGTAGTGGTAGTGGCCATTAGTTGTGGTAGTAAGAGTTCGGAAATGATCTTTATCTATGTCTGTATGTATATCTGTATCTATATATCTACATATATATTTATACATACCTATAAATATACATATATATATATATATACATACACACGTACATACATACATACATACATACATACATACATACATATATATATATATATATATATATATATAAATTGTATATTTCAATTTATATTTATTTTTCTATATATTTTTATATGTATATATGTGTATATTAATATAAATATAAATATAAATA